CTATTAACTCATAGTTAGTTAGATATAGAGACAAGCGACAACACATGCTAGTAAGCCGTCCTCCACTACTATAAGAGAAGACGAAGAGATTTTTTTGAAAATAAATAACATATTGTGTGTACCAATACATTTATTTGAACTCCTTTTTAGTTTTACCTTAAAATTCATCACAAGACTATTCATCATATAAAATAAATTGATTTCATTCATTCAGAATATCTTGAAATGATGACACATTATTCAAAAAATAAATTCTCTGGATTTTAAGACCATTGTGTATCAACCAGGACGGCTCTAGATACATCCTCAAGAGGAGGGGACCTAAGTCATAATTTTTAGAAAACTTTCAAAATTATAGTATGTTTTTTCATTTTGTTTTTAACATTATACAATTTTTTCATAAATACGATTTTAGGAGGGGGCCACCCTTAGGGCCCCTTGGAGATACCTCTGGTATCACTGTATCTCAAAGTTCAAACATCATCCTTACAATAATCAAGAAAGTTTATTGGATATTATAATACAATAAAATAAACAGTCATCCACATCATATTATTAAAATATTTTTTTTTTTTTATTTATTTATTTTAAAGAATAACGCCAACCGACTTAACAAAAGAGTGAAAAGATAGATAATATATATGATAATAAACATTACTATACAATGTGGTAACAACATCAACTCAACAATTATGAACATACCTAGATTATCTCGATGATTGCATTCATTCGTTTTTTTATTTTTAAATTGTTTTTTAACGATTTATTTATCACAAGACTTCCGTATTATTTAATGCCTGAACATTACTTATTCTTGCATTAGATACATCTGAAAGTTGGAAATATGCCTACCTAATCACAAAAAAGAACCGCATACTTGATTTAGTGACTAGTGTAAGCAATTGGCAATACACGCTGTTACGAAACTATCTGTTTTTCTTTTACGCGTATTATTGTACTTCCATTTCATAATACATTTTTATTATAAGTTTTATTTTTCTTTTATAAATAATTCTATAGTTCTATACATATGTATAGCTTAGCAAACTATAACATATAACGTAATACTTGTATATTAGTCATATCATACTCGTACCTATACGCATATATAGTTTATTTTAATAAAATATGCTCAGTAGTTGTGTAGAAAATAATATCAAAATAACAAATCGAATAGGTAGGAAGTTTTAATTATTTATTTATCATTTAATCACTGATATTTAGTATTGGAACATGCATTAAAATATGTGAATCAAACACCACCAAACTAACTTGAACACCTATTGGTACATTCCACAAGCGCTTCCAATATTTTAAAAACAAAAATAACTAGATAACCTATAGTGTGTTGATATTACTTATAAGTAATTGGTTTCAAAAGTATAACCGCACCTTCAAGTCAGGTCAGGGTTTATAAGTTTATAATAACAGTAATTTGTTAAAGATTTAATAATTTCTAAAAAACGATGAATAGAAAAAATATAGGCAACTATATCAATTACTATTTACCATAAATATTCAATAATATGTTATCAAAGTTATGAGACGCGCATAATAAAAATAATAATAATATGTTTTTTTTTACTTAACTGAGATTATTTTTTCACCAACCAAATATAGTATAAATGTATAGTACTAAAAAATAAATTATTATATTGTTCTATATTTTCATTGACAATGGAACAAATTTTTTTTTCATATTTTATGAGTAATATTATCATTGTAAAATCAATACATCCATCTCTCTGCTAAGCATCTAAAATAATAAAATATTTTTTACTAGATATAGAATAAATTATATACACATTTATACAGACGTATTATTGTCCATGTTACAACTTAAAATTTAGTCTTACTAAATTGTTGAAAGTTGAAACTTGATTTGATCGATTTCTTGGATTCATTGAACGTATAAAAAATAATAACACGCTATTTAGTGTTGAAAAAAATTAAATGTTTAAATAACCTTACCCTGAGATGAATACGTTCATGTTTCTTTTTGTGAAATGGTAACTTGTAAGTATAATAACTTCGCAAATAATAGGAAAAAAATTGATAAAGCCATTTTTATATTTTGAAACAATATTGTTTTTTTTTTTAATAGATAGGTACTTTTAATTTTAATACGTGTTTGAATACTTAAATAATTTTATCACGTGTATCTATACCAAACGGCAAACTTATATGTGATGACATCGACATAAACAATAATGTTACGTCACAATTAAATATATATGGCTTATATAATATATTATATGTATTATATTATATCATATATGTCATATTATGTCCATGTGTTATGTGTATCTTTAAACTATGTACCAAAATATTGTTTGGTGCAATCAAAGTAGGTATAACCTTTTTGAATCCCATATTTTTTTACCAGAGATTTTGTTATGTAGTTTGATTTAGTTGCTTTGATGTTATCGTACAATATTTACAATTTTTTTATAATTTCAAATTTTTTAAAACTCGTTTAAATTACGAAATTTAATTTTAAGCATTTATATCATGGTCCTATTCACTACCCCGTTCCAACGTACATCGGGATCGATTTACAACTTAACAGCTAATAATATTCTACGAAATTCAATTATAATATGTTTATTGTTCTATAATATACATATGCGATTTGTTTTTAGCAAAAATTAATTCAACCTAATTTGTTAGTTATGTGTGTCTTATACTCTTATTACTTATACTTAGCTCTCGACACCAAAAACTATGAACAGCAGAGCAACATCCCCTGTTTTGTACTATCACAATTTTCTTATTATATGTGTGCATTTAAACAAGTTGAAAGTGTCATCAGTGGGTGGCTTCTTTCCTCAAATTTATGTATCATGTTATTGTTTGTTTCCTTCTTATAGCACATATACTTATTATGTCTTAGTTAGGTATAGATTGTATATTTTCTTCTAAAAATAAAAAAAAAATAAAAAATATGTGTGCATATAAGACATAGATTGCACATTGTTCATTTTCAATAAAAATACTGTATAAAATGTTTCTATATAAATCAAATTTTAAAATGTGTATTGATCAACATGCTAGCTATGCATGCTACTTAAAATTTTTCTTTAACATGTATGTTAATGTAGTTATATGGTAGCGACTAAACGACTAACTACTAGGTATTATATGTCTAATAATCTGTAAGGCATCTAATGTTTTAAATTGTTGTATAAAAAGGTTCTATTTCCTTATGAAGTCCCTAGACATATAGATTATCGCCAGTTTTTGTTTTAAATATAATATTTGTTATTATTTATTAGCTTACCTATTTTTATTAAGGATATTACTTATTATATCATCAGTCTTAATATGAGACAAAAAATGATTATAATCTTAAATAATTAACCTAATTTGGATCACAATAAATTAATATACCACTAAATAAAATGAGTCCTATCATAGTTTACACTAGAAACTAATGATAAGAAAAAATACTATTTATTATATTCTCTTTTTCTATACAAATATTTTTATTTTTATTATGTGTATTCATCATGCAAAGAAATGTAGCACTGCAGGTTCCCTGCTTATATAATAATAATGACAATTATAGACATTTTATTAGATATATTGCCATATTGGTTCCCTGTTTTTGTCTAAATATAACTTATAAGTACCTACTAAGTGGTAGTTGCCACTTTAGTACTATACCTAAGTACAATTGAAAAATACTTTCAACTATCTTAATTGTTTTAGGGTTATTGAATGTTATAACTAATAAACTAATTTGTCACCATTAACCAATTTTAACAGTTCCCACAGTTTCATTATATATTTAAAAAATAAACATTATATATTGGATACAACACTAAATTATATACACAATCTGCGTTATTTAATTTTAATTGAAAATTCTAAAACTGATAATAATAATAATAATGAGTTTAGTTAAAAGTGTGCAAAAATACACAATAGTAGAGTAAAATTTAACCAAGTACTCAAATAACTCTTTTTACAAAACCAGGGAGTTGATAAAAACCACACAAACAAATATGGTATTGAATAAGCAATTATTAGTGTTGCCTATAGTTAACTTAAACGTATTTGTTAAATCATTATTATAACAAAAAACGTGAAGATTGAATACAGCAATTATAATTTTATGTAATAAAATTGTTGCAGGCTGCGACTCTGCGAGCCAGACAAAGTTTATCCACATTCTGTAATTTGATGACCAGTGACCACATATCAATTCTAAAGCGCAAAGATATATCTCCTATGACCTATATAACCACAACTATTTGAAAACATTGAGATACCTATTATGAAAGAAAATAATCAAAAACATATAATAGGAACAATTCAAGGGTATAAATCATTAGGTAAATGGCTACTTGTCTAATAATGTAATCGTTCATTGCAAATAATTTATTTTAGCTGAATAGAAATAGGTAACACAGAAGTATAGAATACACACATTATTGTTACTACTAACTAACAAAATTGAGAACTTAAAAATAATACAATTTATAGCTAAATAAACATAATAGGTTATTATCTATTTATATTTGATATTATATTTAGTTATTATTAACATTGACAAATTATTCTATGAGTATCCAACGGATTATTAAATATTAAAAACATAATTGGGTGGGAAGAGGAAAAGTAGAACGCATTCTACAGACATCAAGATTAACATTCATATAGGTGTTTTCATTACAGTGAAGGTCAATTGATAGTACTATTAATTTGTATATTGTATAAAATTAAATTAAAATATACAACAAAATGTATGATACCTAAATGTCGCTTATTCGATAATAGTTAATACAATCTGGTCTAATTACTTAATTTTAAATCTATAAGCAACTATACACGGGTATCATTAAGAGAGAGGTTAAAAGGTTATGAATAATTTGACTTAAGTATTTAATACATAAGTAACCTCTGTATTTCATTATAATGAGTTAAATTAAAACTGATTTCTAATTTTAAAACATTCACAAAAAAAAATGTTGCACACAAAATTATTCAACATTAAAAATAAAAATATAATCTTTTTAAATATAATAACTTTAATATGAACCTAGGTACATAATAAAAGCTTTATTTAATATTTATTAAAGTTTCTTTCAATAATTTGTGCCCAACACAAGACGTATAACATATTAATATGTCTAATCACAGCACATTATTATATATTATTAAATAGCGTAAACGATCGTATACTAGACACTTATTTATACCAGACATTAAAATTGTCTTAAAAGTATATTTTAAAGATAAGACGGGTCTGTCCTTTTGACGTATAATCAGAGATCCTGACATTTCAGTCTTCAGAACCTAAATCAATATTCCGTGGTCATTTCAACGATGGCATTAGCCATTTACAAATCATCGTTCATCAACTCACGCAAAATGATTGAGCAATTATGCTACATGAATTGTTCTCATTTTGTTGCATACTCATTGTACACCATGGCTGAACAAATGAATAACCATATGAAAACAATAAATCCACCTGACTGTATACGAAAAAAAACTGTTATTAAATCATCTGAGAAGTATTTATTTGTTTATTAAATATTAGGATAATATAATATAAATTCCAATATAATAAGAGTCTTCTCAAAAGACAATTTCGTAAATGTTTCAAATCAAATAAATACCCGTGAGTTGAAGTCGCAGTTCCTAGATACGATTTAGTTGGCAACAGGAGTATTAATGTAACTACGGTGTGCGACATGATAAAAGAGGTTTATATAAATAGTTTCTCGAGGAATATATGGTGATAAAGTGAAAAGTTCATTTAATCTGGCGAGTAAGCGTCTCGGAAATCAATTTGAGCGAAGATTCAAGATGAGGCTATTTCATCGGACAAGAGTTTGGAAAATACAATATAGTTAAATTATAGTACTTTCGTTGTAATGTTTTTTATCAACAAGGTTACTTAAATAAAATTGTATTTATCCTTTTATGGTTTCAAACATTTTTCATTTTTAGATAAAACTAATTGCACGTTTCAATCATTCAAATAGGCAATAAAAAATTGTTTTTCAATCAATGCTATAGGTAGGTACTATTTGTAATTGCATACAACTATAATACCAAGTTGACATTTTTTAGTCTATTTTTGGGTTAGATAGTTTTATAAAAATATTCCTCAAAAAATGTATAGAAAACCTATTAAATTTGTATATAAAATTAAGTTTTTCTTGCAGCGTCTAGCGTCAGCTATTGGTTCTGACACAGATTCGGCGCTCAGTGTCTAGACGCAGCGTCATGACTCCTTGCCATAGGCGGAGATCTTGTGAAATATTGAGGGGGCTCAAATATTTGATGGTAAACAGACCCGCGGGGGCGTTGCCCCCACTCCCCCAACAAACTAATTTTTATATTAAATCACTCTTAAAAAATTGTTCTCGTTAACTCATTATCATAACAACTTAAATAATTACAGACATAAAAAAAAGAATAATTAATAAAAGATTTTTATTTAAATATTTAAAACCTATTTGAACTAAATTATTTATTAAAAATCTAAATCACAATCTCAAAAGAAACTTATTCCCAAGAACATCAAACAATAAGTAAAATATAATTTAGTAAAAAATACGGTAACGGTACGAATACGAATGTACGATACCCATTACAATGTACGAATACGATTTATTCAATCACGATAACTTTACGATAGGTTTAATGGAGCTATTATAGCGATAGTCCTGTAATAGTTATCGCTTCTTGTCTCTTGAGAATTAACAAAAATTAGAAAAGAAATAATTAATTTTCCCATCTATAAATAGAACGGTATAATATGTTATTCAATATTGATGGCCAATTGATACAAAATATGTACAATATTAGGTATATAAACACAATATAATATTATTGTGAATTGCGTCTTAATTGTTCAGTATGTTACCGTAAATAATAAATTGGTAAATAGATGTATGTAATGGACTAGGTACACTTTTATAATTGTAGATATAAGAATATAAAATAATGAAAAAAATTCTACAAACTGTACAAAATTACGGTATTGTTTGTTTAATATTTTTAGGGGGGCTTTAACTTCAAATTATTTATTTGAGAGGGGGGGGCTAAGCCTCCGTAATCCCCCCCCCAATATCCACCTATGCTCCTTGCTATTCCACAGGTAATTTATTTGTGAAACAAAGTAGATGGGCGTGTAAAAGAGTAAAAATATGTGTGTACCTGAATATTTAAATGCCTCATTCATTATGATATAATTAGTAAAAGTACGCATAAATATTTTTTAAAAGAAGAGCATCTCCATACCCCTCGCCCCCTCAATGCAGGCACTATGTTTCTCTTTTTAACGCTACAGGAAAAACGTACCCCGAAGTTATACAAATATAAATCACATATATGAATAAATATTATACTTACTCTTTTAGTTAATACAAATGATTTGGCACACATCAATACCATAAAACCAATTGTACTTAACATTACAGCAATCGCACTGTCGTCGAGACTTTTCGAGTGAATATTTATAGATGCGCTTGAGTTTTCTTTATGGAACCACATACCTTTTATAAACCACGGAACACCCAAACAAATTAAAACATCAAATGTTGACGAACTTAGTGCGGTACATAGAGCCATAGTACCTTGTCCTAAAATTCAAATAAAACATTTATTTTTTGCCGTTTATATTCTATATTTCACAATTTATTGAACCTTGTCTTGCAACTGCTATACTAGACACCATTTCGGGTACACTCATACCAATCGCTAATAGTGTAATTCCCATAACTGAATCAGGAATTGAGAATTCATTTCCTAAAAATGATTCCAATATTCATTATACATTTATACTAATAATTAATATGGTTAATAATATTTATAAAATTAAGTTTGTTAACTGTTATAATTGTTTACTGGTATAGCTTTATAGTGTTGTCGAGCACCTATTCTAACCCAATTCAAATTAGTTATTACAAATTGCCTGCATATTTAGTAATGACAAGTCATTTCTGAAAACAATTAAACCACAAGTACCTTCATTTAATCGTCTTGCAATGGCTCTCGTTACTTTCAAATCAAATGTATAAATTAAACAGTATGATATGATAAACTATACTGTGCCAATAATAACGGACCTATTCAAGATTTATTTATTTCTATGATGGTTTCATTTTGTAATTTTATCATTAAGAGCTGAAAAATTCATTCAAGGTTATCGATAGTTAAAAAACCTCTAATATCGCTGGTCTCAACATGTTTTTTGGAAGTAAAAATTTTAAATTACAAAGAATTAGGGAAAATATTCAATATGGCAGTAATTCAATATACATATTACTCCAAAAATCGTTATAGCAATAATTTATCACCTGACAGTTTTCCAGTATTGTAAACCTATAATTTTTTAGCTACTTAGTATAATTTATTTCAAACATATATTACTATACAATACGCACTAATTTAATAAGAAGTGATTATTTTTTGAGAATTTTTGACTTTCGTATTATTTGTATAGTTTTGATGCTGAAAAGAAGGTAAAATAAATTATGGTAGTCGAATTTGGTTTTGTGAAAAAATTATTTTTGAAACACCAGTACACCACAATATTGTGGTATATGGTACTTAGACCAAAATTATGTGGTTTTTGATTTCGGAAACATGCGTAAGAGGTATGTATTGTCTAATCACCGTTTGTTTATGCATTACGTCCATATAAAGTATAATATTATAGACCCCAATTATACCTTCTACTAACTACCAATATATTTCTTCTATTATTCTAACTTTAAATTGTTTGTACTAAAAATTAGCAGTAACAAAGTATTGCTTTTTATATAGACATATCATGCTTTGGGTTAAGGTTAATACTTCAATAAATAAATAACATTTTAAAAGAGGCTTTTTACTTATACTAGTTATTAACCAGCTAACTCTTTAATAATTAAATGTAATCGGTTTTTTATTATTTATGAAATAATAATACCGATGTTCAATGATATTATTAATTAAATATATCAATATAATATGTATATTTTAAGCGGTTTCTTTATAAAATGCTCACCTATAATAGTAATCAATTCTACAATGATAAATGATCCACATCCAATCCAAAATATACACATAAACATGGTAATCGGTACCCAAAAAACTCTATCTTGACTATTGCAGCTCGGAACAGTCACTTTTAAGATTAAGACTATAGGCCATACTAGTATTTCTTTGATATTTAATAGCTGATCACGAAGTCTATCCTTCCATTTGGGCAAAATAATCTGGTCTTGCACTATAAATCCATTTTCTACAACTCCTAAAGGGTTTTAAAATGTATATATATATATATCTATATTTATACCAATTTACATAGTATTACTGTTTGTCTGTTCATCTACAAACTTCACATGCCAATTTACCATTTAGAGGAAGAATCGGCTGACTCTCACTGCACCCCTCGAAAACTTTGTTGTCTTGTCGAGAAATATATTTAAATATTTTTTCAAGATATGAGCTGTAAGAGAGAACTGTTGGGAATTATTGACAGCCATGAAAATAAGAAACAATAGATTACTTACTTAATAGGTATACCATGTAAACTATAATTAATGTCAACGCTTCGTAAGCATAAACCTTGTTATCAGCCAATGACCAAACTAATAATGATATAGTTAAAAGATACATCGATACATCACGAGTGATGGGCCAGCTTTCCAGGTGTATGGCCTAAAAAATTTTTCATTATGTTGCATTAACAGTTAACATTAATGATCTTGTATTGTCGTTAATTCTAATTTGTATCTATTTTAACGTACTTAGTGCATTATTAAATTGTATATATTAATATATATCGTATCGAGGTATTAGAATTCAAAATGTATGGTTGTGCGTAGCCCATGGGGCATAGGCTATATTTAAAAAAAATGTATACCTTTTGATCAGCCATAAGTATGCAAAGTCCAGGAACTAATAGTATATTAAATAAGCCAGTGCCGACCACTGTGCCGACTCCGACATCGCCCTCTGTAAAAAATGTAGCTAGTATATTGACGAATAGTTCGGGACATGCCACGGCTGCAGCCATTACAGACGCTCCTGCAACATCTTGACTCAACTTCATCCCTTAAAAATTATTGAAAATTATGTCAACATACACGATACAAACACTATTATATCTAAATAACGTATTTAGAATAATTATTTCACAATGAACACTACCAAAGACCAAAATTATTTTATTGTTCATAAGAGCCTATTTGTTCAATTGACAATTGTATATACTTGTACATAAATGTTTATAAACAATTAATCTTCCTCAGACTATTTAATATGAAATATATTTGAATAGGTATGTATTTAAAAATCAAACATTGATAGTGACGTAACAATTTATTTACATTGTCAGGTTGTCTTATGGTAAAGATGACGTGTACGCGTGTGCGTGTGTGCGTGTGTGCGTGTGTGCGTATGTGTGTATTATATTTATATAGTTGTGGTGAATGATATACAATTAATGATGACGTATGAATTTAGGAAACAACTTTAATGGTAGCCATGACCCAACATTTTCAACTATTTTATAGTAATTATTCATATAATAATTATAACAATAGAATTGTCAAGAAAATTTCATATAATTTCTAACTGATTTAACATAAATTTGTTTATTTGTAATATATTTTAGATTCTGAGCAGAGCAATGCTCTTAAACGGAACAACAATATTGCAATAGTGTGTTAAAAAAATCAAGATCAATAAAAAAAACTAAAGAGCAACGAAACTATGAAAATATTTACACCAAATTTAAGCCAATGCACGAGCCTTTTTACACCATTATAATACACTAGTATTAATCTATAAGTTAACAACAATTATTATATATTATAGGTACCTATTAAAAATATATAATAAATAATTAATGATAAAATGTATGCGATGTTTTTGGAAAAATTATTTCAGCCTATCGTATAAGTGTGTGACTAATAAATAAATAATTTACTTATAGGAATATTAAATATTAGTATATTACCTTTGAAAATATTAAAATATACTTAAAAATAAAGGTTGAAATATCAACTCCGCACAGAACTATTTTCGTAAGCAATGGTCTAACAATGAATTCAATTGAATGCATAAATTACAGCGACCTACTCAATATTGAGGTATATATTATACTTTCCAAACATACTAACGGCAAAGTTACTCTTTTGAAGAAAAAACGTATAGATTTTACTTTAAACCCCGCTTTATTATGAAACATAAAGCCAAAAATGGCATTAGTTATTTGTACCACTGTTTGTTCTTCTAAAGTTCTAACCAAAGCCAAGACTATTAACTAATACCGTCATACCAATATAATTTGGCATTATATTAATTAATCTCAGTTTGAGAACTTTTTCGTCTGCTATATTGTAAACTGTCTGAATTGTAAACTTTAAATAATGATTAACTATCGTAAAAAAACGTTAGCGTCATATTTTGATTTGTTCTGTTTGACGAATGCGGGAATGATCAATCAATGAATCTCTCAGAAGTGTAAATGTATATGTACAATATACATATTTATAAAAAATATGAATTTTCATAGTATGTAAAGATTTAAGATACAGTTTTTTTACGATATATCATCATTAATTACAAATAACTTCTTTATAGTATTTAAGTATTTTACATATGAAACCAATGATATCGTTATACCGATATTATATTTTGGTTTTATTTCTTGTATTGTAATTTTTATCAAAAGTACATAATAGTGTTATAAACTTATTTTATTTTATAATAATACCTATAATAAGAAAAGAAAATTGTAACTAATAAATTATTGTAATTATTGAAATGAATAGACAACTACAAAATGTATTGTCTAGAAATCTACATTATTAGAACTTATGAGTTTGTGTTTTTATCTATTTTAGTACATGTTTCATAATCACGATCACGTGATTTTATATAAAGAATTAAGTAGATTATTATTATAGCTTTAAATACCTACAATAGTTTAATAAGTATTAGGTACAGTATAATAGTCAATATCTATTCTATTATTAAAATATAATTATTGCTTAAATTTATAAATAAATGATCATAATTATTTAATAAATATTAACTTCTATTGTTGTTTAGGATGAAAAATAAGTGAAACCATTTTGAACTCCTTTAAAAAAACTATTGTTATCAGTTATGCAATATAACAAACATAGAGTAGGTATCTACCTACTGAGTGATCTTTAATTGCTTTATAAATTGTATAGTCAAAGTCTAAATAAATTGATACCTTCACGTTTAATGTTTTGTTATATATAATAAGACAACAGAAGTACCTACAATCTGTTACTGATTTCAGTTATTACATTATTGTTCAGAATTAATAACAAAAAAATATTTCGGTTTTTACTGCAATGATTTAGCAACAACAAACATAAATAATTTTATCAAGCAGGTAAGAACTCTCATGCAATAGTTTATTTATAGAAATGTGTAATGTTATATTGTGAAGATGAATTTCGAAAACTCAAAATTTAATGTATTTGTACTTTTTTATTGAGAAAGTTAAATAATTTATAATATTTTATATTCTATAGTATAAAAAAATGTGATTATAGGTATTTACTTACTGTGAGAAATTATATGAATGCATGGTACCAAATAACGATTGCATACTACTCCTAAAAATAAGAATAAGTATAAAGCAACAACGGACGTACACAATATAGTAAAAGTGCGTTCCTCGAAAATGAAAATCTCTTCAAACAACGATTTTTTATTTTGACTTTTTGTATTATTGATACTTGATAATAGGACTCTCCCGACGTGTTTAATATCTGAAATTTATAACAAACAATTAATATCCATGTTTATTGTATTTTCATGTTCGTAATTTAGTAAGAATAGATACTTTTTCATTATATCATACATTTTATACCATACCTGATTCGTGTGGAATTCGAGTATATGACTTCAAACAATAAAATATAAGCATAAACAACGCTAAACTAATTGAATATAATTTTGCTTTCCAATTTTTTTGATTTATTACTCGTAAATATTTTCCATATACCACCATATTCATTTATGTTTCTAAATTAAAAAAAAAAATATTTCAAATATTTTAATTTAAATTGTAAAATTCAAGAGTAACATTATTTCTATTTAAATATGTAGCAGTTAACAATGATCAAATGATTATTGCATTAATACATGTTTAAGATTAAGCTAACTATTTTTAATAATTATAAAGGTGCTTAAAGCTTTAGTTATAATTTGTTGTATAACTTTTGTGTTAATTTTCTGTAAAAAAACAATATACGTATTCTAAATTTAGTTGATGAAGTAAGTTTTAGCTTAATATCGAATAATGAATAATTAATCAAAGATAAATACTACAGTCTACAGCTAAGCATGCAACTCAAAAAAATATAATTATTTAACACTATGATAAAAAAAAATTGGCAGTTTTTCAGGTAGGTACATATTTTTACCAAATAAGTTATTTAAATTTTGATATTAATACATATTGTTTCTGCATTACTTTCATTTTAAGATTTGTTTGCTTCTATGAAAATTCTATTGATCTGTCTAAATCGATTTATCAAACGTGATTAAATTTAATAATATATTCAAAAATATGATTTTTAAGAATAATGCATCTATAACAAATTTAAATAGACATACCTAATATAATAATTAATATGGTATCGATTCCAATTAAATAAAATACTTATAAGCACAATATTACTATTTATTAGGCTAAGAACATTTTTCGTTAAAAATACATGAAATGCATATGTTTATTATAGTCCTTTAATAATAATAAATCTTAAAATCTTACCTATATTTCTGATAGTAAATAAAGCTGTCTTAAAAATGCAGGTGGTTAGGTCAAAGCGCAGATCGTCACTGGTTTAATTGCTAATATGAATAATCTATATAAATAATAGAAATCAGTGTCTAACATGCTATCATAACAGAATATACGTCATAACTTGATAACAAATCGTAAATACAATAAACATTAATCAACTATATAAAAAATGTAATAGGGGAACTTATTCACTTGCAATTCATATTTTATAATATGTAAGTGTAATGATAAAAAATATAATTTAAATATATTGTAATTGGTATGATTTCAAATTTAAAAAAGATTAAAAACTTTATAATATATAGCCTAGTCATATAAATAAAAAACCCAACGCATATAAGTATATTATTATTAATTATAATGATTATTTACGTATTGAGAATAAGATAAGGTCTGTTACTACGACGATCAATGGTCATTTTATGGAATTAACAATAGATAAACAAAGAAAATGTTATTATATCATATTAATTGTATTCCGATAAAACATTGTGTTTTGATAATTTATAATAAAAATAATAATTATTGTTGTGTTTTTAGGTGTGTCCTGTATTGTATAACGTGATAGTATATTGGGCAATCTTTTTGGACCTTGTGAGAGCACGCGCTGCAGAGCACGAATTCATATTTTATTGCAGTAACATGTAAGTGCTAATTCGAGGCTGTTAATATATACCTACAAAAATATCACTGATAATAAACACTTGTCTTAAAAATATGTATATATTTTTAGAAATAATTATAATTAGGTGTTGTATTACTTGCAAAAATCATTCATGAATAAAATATAATTTTTAAGCTTATTTTCTCTAAATGCATAAAAAAACAATTATATGTCTACTGCAGTACATTAAATTACATTCATGTTTAATAATATGCAATATCTTCTTTAGACCTTTAGACCTTTTCTTCTAACAGTGGACAATGCAATAATTCTGTAACTATAATGTGGTATAAACAATTAATTTAATATATATATACACAAGATTATGTGTTTTTGGTGTTCATAAATTTAGACAACCAACTGAACTAACAAGATTAATCGCAGTAAGAATTAAAAAGGTAATAAAATTAGTCAGATAGACAATAGTTATTGATTTGATGATCCATTAATTTTTTTTACATTTTAAATAATATCAAAAACATAATTTTAATTTCTTTCAATTAATTTTTATCAAATTTAAATCATAAATTATAATTTGAATGGATGTTAATTAATTTTTATTCAAATAGATATTAAGCAACGATACCAATTATAATTTATCTGTAGTATAATATACAATTCGATGAGGATAACCAAACAATTATAATTTATATCTGTTCAAGCTATCGAAAGTAAATTGAATCATAAAAGGTCTATTTTAAAGCCAATTTACCTGTTTGTTGCTCTATAATCAAGCACAATTGTAAGTGTAGGTTAATAACAATCAATAATCACTGTTTTAATAGCTTGACATTTAGTATTAAGTATGTTGAGGTGTAGATACCTAAAAACTGGTATATGTTAATATGTTACAATGTGCAGCTGTATTATGATTTATATGTTTTATCTAAGTTTAGCTATGGCGTATTTACTATTGATTTATGGTGGAACTTCCTAAAGCCACCTTAAGACCTTTTTTAGCTTGTACGAGTACTACAGTCTTATAAGTGTACATTATTTATTTTAGCATGCTTGATTAAGCGAATGAACAAAATTAATTACGAATGTTCGGTTTTTAATGCACAAAAAAAATTTCATTTATGACCTAAAAAATTCATAATAATCACTTAAAATGATATCTTTTTTTAATATTTTATAATACAATTCAATTATTATTCAATAATCATTTTATTAAATAAATGGGTTGGCATTAATACAATTTACATATTATTATGTATGTAATCGGCTGTTGTACTCATGTGACGATCCGTTAGGTAATTAAATTAAAAATCCGAGACTCGTGTTATTTTATTACCTAATTACTCGAGTTTTAGTATAGAAATAAAATACAATAAATAGAACAAATACATCTTTTTATAAGATCAAAGTCGATTTGTTTTTGTTTTTGTCATTTTCTAAATATAAGTCAAAACATACCTAGTAAATAATACACAGTAGGTAATTAAAGTGAAACGACATATGGCTTTCGTCCTAGTAAATCGACAAATACATACAACTTGGTATTAATAATTATGTTATGGACATTTTCATCATCACTAACACGTCGATGGTAATATTATACTGACTATTCAAAGTCTCAAAATCATTTGACCTTATGACCTATTCTTTCCTTTCTTGGTTGTCTTCCTACTTACACAATCGCCCAAAATGAGTGCAATTACATAGTATTACCTCCAGGCTCCAACATTGTGACTCCGTCTTCGGGTGTTCTTCAAAGATCTATTCATTACTATATAGTTTTATTGCGTGCTAACAATGCAGATGCTATGAAACTCTTTATGGCTCGAGATTTTGCTCTTAATAGGTTTACTAGCTAGAGTCCTCAGTACTTAGGTATAACTCTATAAATATTTTTAAAAATGCAAAACATAATAACCACGTTTTTTAGAATTTTGACCCCGTTATATTTTCAAACACTAGGATCAAAAGAACAACAATTCCGGATTAAAAATTTAATTACCTTTGAAAACTCTATTTTGCTCCTTACTTCACTAGTTCCTCAATTATAGAACTATCTTCTACTTATGTCGACTTTATCAAATCTATCAACTATATTATGTTTGAAAGCGTTCAACGAAAATCTTATGCTGTGTTTCTTACTCACTAAATATACCTTCCCCTCACATAACCATACGTCGGTTCTACACTATCTAAAATTTTCTATATCCTTACTGACTGTAGGAGAACAGAAAATCTCACATTTCAGGCAGGGCGCTGGGGATAATGTAATAAAACAATGTTTAATTTCTGAATAAAAATTTGAAGTTAGTAATAATAATACCTTAGGTGCTTGTGATAATCCAGAAACACATTAATTTATCACTGTAGAGTGTAGACGTTGGTTCCATAGTTTCTTTAGCACGTGACTTATATACTGTAGTACTATAACATTTTCAACTTTGGAAGTATCAGAATCAAATTCATGACTTATGATCATTATTATTTATACGCTCAGCAATAATGAAGACGGTTTTAGCAATATGTTAAAGATTTTTGCATTGTTTTTCATATCAGCATCGTAAAAACTATTTAAACCATCCGAACGAAAAGTATCAAATAAGTGAAACAGTCATCAAAAAAAAAAAATATCACAGTCGCGATTCGAGTCAATTAACTCAATTTTACTCAAACACAACTAACACGATTAACTATTACAAGTGTTCTTTCATATATTCCCGTGTTGCGATAAAGTGTAATATAAATGATTGTAATAGGTAACCAAAAAGGTATGCCTACATTCATAACAACCTTAAAATGTGGTAGGTGTTTATCTACTATACGTAATATATAATAATAAGTAATTACGTACGATACAACAAGATACGATTTTGATACCTATTTTAATAAATATATAAAATATAGGTATATTATATAGGTATATTAAACCTAATTTTGATACCTATTTCACTTATCTAATTAATATTATAATACCTATCAATTATATTATTTTTATCATTTTTAACATTTTAGTTTCTGAGCGGAGAGATGTATGTATTGATTTTACAATGATGTGTGTTTTAATATAAATATATTTTTTTTTTTTAGTTTTGTGTCTGTTTTCACGGTTTGGACAGTAAAAGTGCTTCCATTTTCTTCAACAACAATTTTCCAGGTAGGAAAATAAATTTAGTTTGTGCATTCAGGAGGACAAAATTTGAAATTCCAAATAGTTTTCAAAAGTGACAGGAAAAGCGAAAATTTTTACACAAAACCAGTTTTTGAAAGAGTCGATTTTGGTTTTTAGTATAATTCTAAAAAAAAGTGGCATAACATTTTCACTGATTGTTTGTGTTAGCATTTTCTATATATCATAATATTTTCAAAATATTTATACTAGTGTTGAACTATTTATAGGCATATAAAATGTTCGGTTATTATTTGTTTTTTTTTAAAACTAATGTCGATAAAAAAATTTTCGCTCCATCAAAAAACTTGTAAATATAATACAAGGTTCCTCTTTAGTGGAAATTAAAAAAAAAGTTGAGCGTAAATCCTCAATGGTTTTTTATGAGCGTTTAAATTTTGACAAAATTTGTAAAAACCATAAGAATGTGCAAATTATATTAAGTTAGAAATACAATTTTTTCTTTTTATATCTAAGATTTGAATATGAATACAATATTTCTAATAATTTTATCTACTTTCATGAAAAAAAATTTCTACCCGTAAGTCAAATTAAATTTTCATGGGCGTTTTAAAAATATTTTGTTTTGTTTTAACCTGTTGAAGGATATTTTCAATTTTCATTTTGTTTAGTTTTTTTTCATACATTTCAAAAAAATTTTATTTGTTGGGTCAAAAAACATGAAAATGTAATACAAGGATTTTGATATTTTGTTAAAATTTCAATTGAAAAATATTTAAAATACATAGTCACGTTTTTTTTTATAATCATTTTAAGTTCAAATTTTTACAACATTTCTAAAATTGAAAATTGAAAAACAATTTTGTAATTAAAAATGTATTAAATGTTCAACTTCTATTTCTAAGAATTGAAAATTTAAAATAAAGTTCTACGTAAGTGGTTAATTCTGTAACCAAAAAATCTAAAAACAAACATAAACACAGCTTTTTTTAATAATTATTTACCTAACCTTACCCAAAGAATAACCGATTTTAGTAATTTTGTTGTAATTTGGTTCCAAAATAGCCCAATTTTACAAAGTATATTTAATATTTTCCCACCATCACTGATAATCTAAGAATAATATTATGAATAATACTAATTTACTTAATTTAAACTTAAACTGGCTACCGCATTAATAATAACTGATAACAATATAAAATATCATAGACTTACATACCGTCTTCGCTTAGAATCGTTTTCCGTATACAATAGTATCATATCATTGAATTCTAATTGAATACCATCCATTACAGCTACCTTCTAGGCACCTAATGTACAGCAAAGCTATCCACTTACCCGCTTTTTAATTTGAATAACTAATATTTTTTCAAACGTCCTCATCCAATTAGGCAATAAGCTACGTTCATTTAACCCTATTCAGTTTACATTTATCCTTCAGGTAGTACCAAACTATTTCATAAGTTCAGGAAGAGTTTTAAGTCAATAAAATCTGGAGAGCTTACAACTGCCGGGATTAAACATAGAGAAAATAAAATTATTTTTAAGCTCCATGACACTATTTATTCTTTATAAAGAAAATAACAATAAGCTTCCATGGCTAAAATTATTTTTTCATGAGTTATTACATTTATGAGTACATTGATTTTGATTTTATACAATCTATTCATATTCCGGATATTTTACATACCAATAAAATATCGTTATGTCATAGTTCTAAATTTATACATTTCACATTTTCACGTAGGTAAGCAAATTTAAATTTGATAGCTACTTAAAATATTTTACATTAATACAGTAATAATTTTCTTTTAAAATATTTTATTTTACAGTTGTATCTACAATTATTTGTATAATTATTACCTTATTTACACTACCTATCTGGTAGGAAATTGGAATATTTTATGTAATAAAAATAAAATCATAATTTGGTAGCTATAAACATATTTTAACTTAATTTTATGTAGTATTACCTACGTGCATATATTTTGTTCAAATTTGTACCTATTCTTAATCAATATTTGTCGGTACCTACCACCTGCGCTACCAAATTTTTAAATAATTAGTATAATTTTGAATAAGTTGTATAATATAGTTAATTATAGTCTCAATTTTATATCCATTAAATTAATTTGATTTAAAAGATAAAAACGAAGTTGTTTTACAAGTTAATGTAGTTATACGAAGTTGTTTTATTTTAAGAATTTCATTTTTAAATTAAATCACTTAGTTTTGATAATATTTACATAGGATTTAAAAATTTTATCAGGTATAATTTTAGTTTCTGAACAATTGTTTAATGTTATGCAAAAAATAGTATCACTGCTGCAGGGTGGTTTCTCCTTATCAGTTAATTAATTCATGCTAACGCCTACAGTATAAAAAAATAAATAAAATAATAAATAAATAATAACAAATATTATAATAATTAATAATAATAATAAAAATTAATAATAATAATATAATAATAATAATATATAAATATAAATATAATAATATATAATAATATAATATAATATAATATAATATAATATAATAATATATAATATAATATAATAATATATAATATATAAATATAATAATAATAATTTATAATAAATAATAATAAATAACGCCACTCATACGGTTGTTGTGAAAAAAAAGCATTTACATATTGTGTATATTCTATTTAAAAAAAAGAGATTCTGAACAGAGAGATGAATCATGAATGTATTGATGCAGATATTAATTTTACAATTATGTGAGTTTTTGTGTCTGTCATCACTTTGTTTTTAAAAAACAAAGAACCGTAGATGATTGAAAACTATATAAATTATATTTTATATTATAATTTTATATATTATTTGGTTGTATAACTATGGCTCTTTTTGATATATTTATAAACATTTGAAGTTTTCTTTTTTTTTAGTTTTTCTAAAAATGTCGATAAAAAATGATTTGATTAGTCAAAAAGCTTAAAAACGTAATATAAGGTTCCTCATAAGTTGTGGTTAAAGCTATTAGCAAATATTTAAATATTAAGATACATAGGCATGGTTTTTTTTTTTAAGCAATTGAAGTTCAAATTTAAACAAAATCACCAAAACAATAATAATAAATGATTTATATATATACTTTTAAAATAATTAAATTATATTCTGGCAATCTGTCACATTAATCACTTATACATTTAATCCATACCTAATAATTGATACAATTTACATTTACAGGAGTTGTATACAAATATATTTTATAAAAAAAACTACACAAATGAAATATTAAGGAGAAGATATGATTCCTATCTCGTCATTCGATGTTATAGCAAAATCGTTTAAAGTACGCAATTACAGACCTGTGATTGACGATTGTATATTCCAATGTCATTATAAACTAACCACAAATATTTTATTAACGTTCTGTTTATTGGTTTCATCAATCAATTTAATAGGTTAGTACCTACTTATTTTTAAATTATTAAATTGAATATTTGAATTATTGATTGATGATTTTATTACCAAAATAACTGTTTAATTATTCAGAATAGATAAATATCATATGGGTAATATTCATTTTGTGCTTAATATTTATGTTTATGAAGGAAATCCGATAGAATGCATAACAAACTCAGCAAAAAAAACAGAAATGCATAAAGTTATAAATAGTTATTGCTGGATGTCGAATTTATACACATCTAATGTGAAACAAGGATTCGGTCTTCCTTATACAGGAAATAATGAACGAAATATTAGATCCCATTCATACTATAAATGGGTACCATTTATGTTGTTCTTCCAGGCTATGACATTTTATGTGCCCCATTGGATATGGAAAATATGGGAAGGAGGAAAAATACGAATGATCACAAATGGTATGCGTGGATTTTGTGAGGGACCTGCTAAGTCACGACGTATAAAACAAGATAGATTGGTTTGTATTTCAAATTTTGTAAATAAAAAAGTAAAAAATAAATTAAAACTTTAATCATTAATATATTAAAGTCATAAGTATAACGTATCAAACATTAGGTATTACATTAATTTATTGCTCTATATTTTCTTAAATGTACCTACCTAATATTTTACCCTACCTACCATTTAGTTATATTATCAAGCCTTAAAAATTATATAATTATTACAATGCCTACATTGCTATTTTGTATTTATAAAGGTATAATATAATAATTAATAATTTTAATTCAATCATAATTTTTACTATGGAGGATCTTAAATACATACCTTTCACATTAATAATATTATATAGACATCATTTCTTTACGGGATTACGGTTTATGGCGGATAGTGATAACAATTCAATTCCAAATCAATTTTTAATACTGTACAATTAATTTTTTAAAATAGCCTTATGCCCTAAGCCTAACCTTAATTTTTATTTCATTGTTCAGAAAACAATAAATACATTAATTAGTGAATATTTAAATGTACACAATTTTAAATTATGTATTTTTATAAAACATTACAGTGATTTTTTAATTACAGGTACAATATTTCATTGAAAGCTTTCATACTCATAGTACTTACGGATTTGGTTATATTTTGTGTGAAATAATGAATATATTCAACGTTGGTTTCAATATTTACATTACTCATAAATTTCTTGGTGAAACATTTTTAACCTACGGAATTGAAGTGTTAAAATATTATCAACATCCTAATTATTTTAACCCAATGGAAGATATCTTTCCTCGACTTACAAAATGTAATTTTTTCAAGTATGGATCATCTGGCACTATTCAAAACATAGATGCTATGTGCATTCTCGCTCAAAATGTCTTAAACGAAAAAATATACTTATTTATATGGATTTGGTTCTTAATGCTTGCTATTATATCCATATTTACATTGGTCTATAGAATCACTATTATTATGCAAATAGTTTTGAAGAGAACATTATTGATAAACATGTCCAAATTCACAAATAGTAAACGAATCATTTCAATGTTAGTTCGTAAATTTCAAGTACGTATAATCTTAAATTATAGTCTATTTTTTTAGACTTAAGGTGTAGTAGTAGTATTATATTTCATTTTTTTAGACCTTGGACATCATAATTGTTAGAAAATGTAGATTTCTTTTTTTAGTTATATGGGTTGAGGGAAGCAGAAAAGCAATTTAAAACCACGTTATTTATGGCCATCTGTTATTTGTATGAATATCTATCTATATACATACTATAAACGGGTGGCTTATGTTTGATCGAGTTTGTAATAATTGCAATATACTTAGGAGAGTTGAGAAGATGTTGTCAAGTGGTTAGATTCGCCAAAAACATAATTTTCCATCAAAATGCATCGTTTATTTCATTTTGTAGTAAAAATATTTTCAATGTTGAGATCTATATTATTTGGCATACTATATATACGTAGTAACCAATAACTAACACTAACTCCCAAAACTTGTCTCAATAATTGGAAAACAATTGAGAAAAAACAAGAGTTTTTATGCAAAGCTGGTTTTTTGCAAAATCAATATTTGTATTTTGTTGTAATTCAAAAACGAATAACTATGTATAGGTCAATAAATTTACAAGTGAATTAGATTAATCAAAACATTCAGATAAATTTTAAGTTATTGCCTATTTATACCATACACATATATTCACACTGTTCTATGGTAAGTCGGTATGACTCAACAGTTAATAACAATTATACATGATATAAATATCTATATTATTAAAATATTAAAATAATATTAATATATTCAATGCAATAATGTTAAAATTTTTTAAAAATTATATTAAATCAACTTATCATAATACTGATACCGAGATAAATTAGTTTAATAGTTTAATTTCAATATAAATAATTATATTTTAAAACACATTTAATAATATAGGCTGACTCGCCCAAAATTGTTTTTCGTGTTTAATGATTTATCATTGAATTTGAATTTGACAAGTCATGCATTACAGTGGCTTACTCCAAATTTAACAGATTATTATTAAAATTTCAACCTAATCATTTTACATGTAATCTATATTTTTAGGTAGGAGATTATATACTCCTTAATTTCATTGAGAAGAATGTACATTGTGTTCAATTTAAAGAAATAGTAGAAGAAATATGTACTCAAGTTTGAATGTATAAAACTACAACAAAATTCACTTATTTTCAAATAACTTAAATTTTAAATAAATAATCATAAGTTATTATCAGATAATTTTTAAATTTTTAATTAGAGGTATAGATGTTACATTCGTATTTACACATACATTAATATTTATGTATGATACTAGGATGAATCAGTTTTCATACCTGGAATACCGCTGTTTCCATCAGATTATCTTTCTAGTTTAAAAGACTACAGTTTTCTCTTAAGTTATATTTTGATAAAGTATCAACAAATCGCAAGGACAGACTTGACAATTTGCAGGGTTGATAAAGAAAAAAAAACTCTTGTAGGTATTTGTTTTAAGAAAATATCTTTATTTGAAACCACAAACTTCACTATTTGATGCATTTTTCTACCTCATATGCCCGAGTAAGCAATGTCACCAAATACTAATTTCTTCTATTTCTAATTTAATCTGTAAACTGTGATAAATAGCAGCCATTTATTATCAAAAATATCCATCGTAAATCAAAAAAACCTTTTCTTAAATTATAAATAAAATATTGTATTCAATGATAGGTATGATATACATATCATTGAAATATTGAGTTCTAATTTAACACATCCAATCACTGTGACCCACGTGAAACCCAATGTACAGCAGAGCGATATCCACCTTGATTTAATTTGTGATTTTTCATTGGCTTTTTTCAGACGCTTTGTACATATAATGGTTATAATCCACAATATGCGACTTCTGTAAGTGTTAGTTAGATAAAAAATGTACTTACACTCACATTTTATTAAATTACAAGTTAGAGAATTCTTAAAAAAAAAAATGTTTTCTGTCGAAAATAATTATTATGATTTTATATTCATGGTAAGGCCTGTCACAGAATATAATTTTCCGAGCCAAATTGCATGGCCGACCCGCCACTGGTAATATAATAGGTAATTAATAACTAAAAGTTATATATACCTGCACCTGCACATAGCCACTATGTACTCGTATGTTAATTTATTATTTAATTAATTAAAAGGGGGTAGATGGGTAATTGTCAGTTGTGTATGTTAATTACCTAACTTACCTATAAGTAATAGTGGTATTGTACAATTGTAACATCTCATTGATAAGTGATGGTTAGGTGATTTTCTAGGTCAATGAAATCCAATTCTCCAACAATCAGTATTCACATTGTTTTAATGCAATTAATAAAACAATTTATTTATATACATAAACATAATACTAATCTGACATAATAAAAAATAAAAATAAATATAATAATACAAACTTAATCCAGTTAATAATAAACTAATCCAATATTATTATCGTTGTCAGCTTACTGGGACTTTTTTAAAAGCCACTATTTTTTTGATCGAAAAATCGGGTATCGACAAATGGGAGTCGGTAAACTGGGAACAAATCGATGATTGTCGGTTTATGAGTGTTCTGTAAGGATACAAACTTCTGTGTTTTCGAATGAAAGCTTCCTTTTCTACTTAAAATTATTTAATGGATAATATTTTTGAAAATTTTTATGCACCCAATTCAAAATCTGAACGAGTAGTTTCTGAATTAATAAAATGTTTATTGGTACTAATGATACTAGTTCTTAAAAATAGTTTTATAAAAATATGAAACACATGTAATATTGGATCCAGTATTTATTACACTTGGACATTTTTTATAAATTATCAATGTTGATGGATTAATATCTATCACAACATTTTTCAAACCACCATAGATAACCTCCATATCTCCTAAACACATTATTATAGACCTATCATCCTTAGTACACAAGGTCAAAAATAACTCAAAAACTACACTTTCGAATTTTGAGTTTGGTACATTAAAATTTTCAGAATAAATATCAGCTCAATAATATCTTCAGTAGAAAAGGGATGAGGGATCTCATTTGAAAAACAGAAATTTGTATCTCCACAGGACACTACTTTATAGTAGTACCTAGACAAAATCACAAGAATTTGAAACTGGTCTTTAATTCTATTTTTTAAAAATTCTAATAATCAGACTATGAATAAATGCATTATTAAAGAAAAATAGGTGAGCCTGTTTGATGGTATACCCTGTATATATTTTAATTTTTTTTATTAGCTTTCAACAAAAAATTAATTATAATTTATTATAATTAGGGTCAGGATTTTTATGACCTCAAAAACTCTAAACAAATGCATGCAAATTTGCCCAATAAAAATCAAATACGACATTTTAAAACTTTATTAAAAATATACTCTAAATTAGTACAAAAAACCTTCAACTAAAAAAATACAAATATGCAAAAACAATATGAACTTGCACTTGTAATAATAATATATTGTGTAATGTGCATTTTTTTCAAATGTAAGTTTTACTCCACATAGGTACTTTACAGAATGGTATTAAAACATCTGTTGAAAATACATCCTCCCCTAACTCTAAAAACAACTTTGTGTAGTCAAGCAGCGGTAGTGCGGGATAGCAGGGTAAGATGTATACACAGATATTCTATATAATATAGATATATGTGGATGTATACTATATAAGTATATAGAATATTGTATTTTTTTCTTAAAGAAAGCCTACATCACTGCGAGATGTTCTTACGCCGCTCGTAATGCTATAATTGTTATACACAGTTCTTATCTAGTAGTATAAGGTATCGTCCATGTAATAAAAGCATAGGTAGTAAAAATTACTGATAAATGAGTAGTAAAGATAAGGTTATTAAGAACTACACGTTTCATATTTTCTAGTTTACGTTAGCTGTGAAACCAACAATCTGAACAATGCCTATACCTATGGGTACCTATTTGTTTTTCTGATTTATATTATGTACATTTATTTATTTTTGATCAAAACATGCATTTATTTATAAAAATCCTTAAATACAAAAAATAAAATGTAATGTATCTGATTCTATGTCATACGAAACGAATAATAATAAATAATAATAAATTAAAACTTTTTCTGCAACACTAAAAGAAAAAATATAACAAAGTCATAAGCATCCTAACACTAAGTTTATATTATATTATTATTATTGGTATATATTTATTAAGGTATATATTTTGGTAGTTTAGTTTGAATATTTTGATTGTTGGATATTTTGACCTAGATTCGCCGAAATGGACTAGTCGTTGATAAGACGCAATTTGCCTGAGTGGCTTAGTAGTAAGTTATAGTACCAAGTGTGAATAGTTTTTTCACGTCATTGCTAAAGTATGTATCAATTAAATTGTTCATTTTAACAATTAGTGTAACAGCGTAACACATCCAAAGCGAACCGACAACATAAATGTAAAAATACGTTGTTGACAAACCAGTGTTCACTTATTTAACTCATTGAAGACAAATAACAATATAGTTATGTATTGTATCAATTTTCAAAAATAATCATCTCAAAATCTGAAAATCAAATTAAAATATCCCATAAATTGCATACTATAACTCAATCAATCAATAGGAAATATTGTACTTATTATAAATAAAAAAATGGATTTAATCTACGCGGAGATATTTTCGTATAACTGGACTGTAATTTAATATTTATACAGAATAATCATTAGGTATCAAAAAAAAAATAATCATTTTATAGTCGATTATTTGTACTTTTGAATTTTTTAGACTTGCTTGTCAGCAGTACTTTTATGAACAGATTAATCTAAATTTTTCTTAAAATTAGATGACACATTTACTAAAGCCTATGGGCCGCAAAAAACTTATTCTGGCTTTTTAGTATGGGTACCTACCTAGTGTTTACTCTTAACTGTTTAGGCGTTAGGTCACAATATCGTTCGTATACAGCAGATATAATATTATTATTCTTCAAAAATCGTGGTTTAGGGAATGTTGTATGAAGAAATCTATGACAGGTTTATAGAATGTAGCTGATAATTTTATTTTGTTTGGCTAGCTCTTGGATTGCTACCATAGAATAACACGTTGGTCGCGCGGCCATTCACCTTCGCAGCACAGTACAAATGACAAATTGCCATTATCAACTAATATTGTGAAGTACTTAAGTGTATATTATGATTAATAATTATTATTAACACTAAAGTATTTGCAACTATTTACCTACAATGGAAGATGTACACATGGCTATACGAACAATTATTTGAAATAGAATAATTTTTTCGAGGTTGAAATACAATTATAGGTAGGGGCTAGATAGGGTAAACGGACTTTACGTGCCGGCATATTTTGATTCTAAGACATTTTATGCTCATGTTTTTTAAAATCACTATTATTTATTAATTTCTTCAAAAGTTAATTATACTACTAACAATATTTGCCCGTTGTCGGGAAAAATGGTATGGAATCCTGGAATCCTGGAATCCTGGAATCATTTTTCAGCCTCTCTAAATTGTTTTTTCTTGTTTGCATCAAACAACTAAACCCAAATCTTGAACTTTTATCATTAAATGTTCGAAACTGATTCAAATTTTTATTTTATAGCGGTCAATAATTCAATATAAGTTTCTAAAATAATTATTTTAACTCTAGAGAAAAGCATACAGGTATATAGGTAGTAGGTACACCTCATGGGAATAATAAATAATAATATTTTTTATACTTGAGTGTACACTTGATACAATTTGGAGGGGCAAGTAGAAAATGTTCCGTCCATATAATTAATTTTGTTTCTAGTCAATTCACGTTTGTGAAGAGAAAATTATAATACGTTTTTCATTATTTTTATTGCAGTCATAAAATAAAAATGGTTCTGAATTTTCTTCACCGGTCATACTCCCTCCAATGTGTCTACCAGTAAAATGTCATCTATTTTCCAAATTTTTGGATAATTTATTTATATAAATATAAATAATATAAATAATATGTAATATAATAGGTCTTATAATCAAAATATGCCGGGGACCAAACGTCTTTTCTTAATTATTTCTGGGAACGAAACGTTCGTAAACTCATTTTTGACGTTTTGGCGATTCACTAGACATAATCTGTAATCCACCTATATGTCTATAGGCTATAATCGTGGCCCGTGGATTAAAAACTTGTAACCACGTTTATGGAGAAGTGAAGAACTAAAGTTGTAAGCTTTTGTGGTGGTTCGACGGTTACATTATTACCGTGCTCGTTTGCGCCGACATTTCGGTCACGTCACAGTGGTCACACCGACACCGGGATCGCGGCGACTCGTGACGTCATCGTTGTGTCATTTTTGCGTGTGGATGATGTGTCGGCCGCACCGGACCGCGGGGAAGGGCATCCGCCGAGCTACCAGCTCGTTCGCCGACGCCGCCGCCGCCGCCAGGTCGCCAGGATCGTACTCCTACTCCAACTCCGTCCGACCGCCGCCGTTGCCGACGTTTCCGTTTGGCGTTCGGCGTATGGCTCTTTTCACGACCGACCCGCTCCGCAGCTCAACGCCTATTTACCGCCCGCTCTTACGACTGGTGCGCATGTTCGAAATCAAACACGCTTAAACGCTTTGATTACAGTTTTCTGTACGTAAGGTTTTGGAGAGCGAACGAAAACGGCAGTTTTCGACGCACGTTTTACCGTGGTTTTTATTGATTTGTCTTTTGCAATTCGTTTTTCTAGCTTGTTCGACATCACCCAGCCGCAAAAATGAGCCTGTTCCGTTCGACCGCCTCCAAACTCTTGGAAATCAACCAGGTACGTTTTGAAACTTTCAAAGGTTTCGTTTTCGGTTTCCCCCCCTCCCACCACCACTCGCGTTGTTCGGGTGTTTTACACGGAGTAACGACTTACCAGATTTTCAATTTGTCAACGTTTTGTGAACTTTGCTGGACATATCTGTTTATGTAATAATGCATACGCGGATGTACATCTCTACATTTTACCTTAAGACAACTTATTATTTCCGTAAAATGATGTGTCAGTCGTTGGATAGGTAACCTTACCTACCGAATACTCGGTAATAGTGTAATACTGTAGGTATAATACTGTAGGTTGTGCATGTGTGAGTCAAGATGTGGTGGGGTAGAGTACTATTTTTATGTCAGTTTGTTCAAATATTTATTTTCTACAACCTGCGTTATCAATACACCTATCTTAACCTAGCAGTTTTGAGTTATTAGGTAATAACCAATTTCATAAATGACCTCCATCAACCTTGAGGTGGTTCCCTTCAAACGGCATTAAAAAATTGGCAACATATGCTAATTTATTTTTTATTTTAATTTGATGAATGGAAATTACTTACATTTTTGGGACCATATCCAAATTTTATTTTTTAAGTATTGGGTCATGGTTGATTTATTATTTATTAAGTGGTAAAAACTAATCAATTTGTCAATAACTTAATTTTAGTTGATGTGGATCTAGGCAGGTATATATTCTGTTTCTAGTCATTTTTTATTACTATAAAAAGCTTATAGCTTTGGTAATAATCAGCTTCAGATAGGCAAGGGATCCTTTGGTATCGACCTACCGATTTTTAGAATTGCCAACGTTTGTTGACTTCAACGACAGACACTGTACGGTTCAATAATTTGATAAATTCACTAATTTCTCATTATCATATAAAAATAAAATTATATTCGAACACTCATGACCAGCCATTATTTTAAGTGACCCATCAAGGTTATCCCTGATGCTTACTGGCCCAATTCGAGGCTGGTTACTATAAAGTGACACAATTAGTATTAAAGTTCTATTACAAATTAAAAAAAAAATATTTATCTTATTACTTAAACTGTAATCAAGGCCCAAAATAATTTCAATAAGACTTCAAGAGACATTTAAATCATGTCTATATAATCAATGTTTGGAAAGAATATCGTTCTTGAACTCACATTCATACATTCATGCTTATATTTAGTGAACATCACTCGATATTTTGAATTGAATGTGGATGTTCTTTTATATATTAATGAATTTGAACGGTTTTTAAAATTCTCAATTTATTTGCCATTTCATAAATAAATGTTTAAAATATATAGATAATTTATATTATAATATAATAACATTTTCTTATTATTATGATTCCTACTATAATAAAATGTAAAAAACAACTGGGTGACAGTGAATAAGTTCCTTTTTTAAGGACTGAACGTGAATGTTCCGAACACTATATAATAGAACATTGATTAAGAGGCACTAGGTACATATTATTTATAAAACTATTATTAAGTTAGTAATATTAATCTATTTTATTTTAAAGTAAGCTTTAGATTTACTTATGTAGTAAAACCAAATTTTGCTCAATCCTTAACAAGTCAACTGGCATACGACTGCATTTCGGTGACATGGCTGACCTTCTATAGGGCCACACTCTATTTTCAAT